GCACTCAAGTGAGGGTGATAAAGTGAGACTGCCTCTAAAAATAAAATAAAATCTTACAAGGTACACCAATCATTATATAACATCCTATAACACCCAACATACCAGTGGCCAAGAGCAGCACCTCCTAATTAAACATATCAATATAATTTCAGCAAAACATATGGGACAAAAACTATAAACAGCTTCTCATTAGTTCAGGTTGTATTTTGTTGCCAAGCTTAAAAATTTTTTGGTATTTAGAACTTTCTGAATGTTAGATTTAGATAATAATTACAGACTATACTCAACAGGGTGCTGCTGCTAGAAAGTATGGTTAGTCACTTCAACTCTCATCTTTGCAATAAGACTAGAACAAGAAATCCCAGCAGGCAGCTTTTATATTCCAGGTTAAAGCCTTGTTCTGTGGTTAAACAATGCAGCCTAGCAGAGAGTACAAGAGCTGACATAAAATGAAAATCCTTATTGTATACCACTGAACTCCTATTGTAAAGCTGTTCACTAGGTATTAATTTAATAAAAGTGACCTTTGATTAAATCATCCCCATAATTTTATTATGTAAATAATAAATAAATAAAATTTTTATCCTACATTGCTACCAAGGGAATGGAGGCAGTGAGTTTTCATCTCATCAGAAGGTAACTACTGCACTCTCTTTAGGACTAGTGTACATATAAAGAGGCATTCCAAATATATTGGTTAAGAATAAGCAATAATGTATTCACTTTTCTCAACCTGAGACCATTACTCTATAATATAGACAAGAGAGGAGTTTTCTAGTCAATCCTTCCTGATTTCCTGAATCAGAATTATTCCCTTTAAGACTTTTCCTACTTATAAGGAGAAAGCCCTGGAGACAAAACACAACACACCTTACAATCTTTTCCTTTCTCTCTACAACCCAAGCCCCATCTTGATTTTGTTTCTGTCACAAATACATACTTTTTTCCTGGCTTTAAAAAAAATAATCAAATTTACATTAAAAGACTACAAATGGCTTTTTAAAATATATATATAATTCAATTTGGTAATGCTGTTTCACAATCTTAAAATCTTAACATCTTCACAGTCTTAAAACAAAACCAATTGTTTTGTTTAATCTATGATTTAACACTCAGCAAGTGTTTATTACAAATAGCGCATTCCGTCCTAAAAACGGAAGTAGCAACAGTGAGCATGTAAAAACTCTTTCGGAGTTTTGGCTAATGTTTCAGGAGGAAATCACAATTTATTTTTTTAAAAAAGGACACCTAACAAGCCAGATCTTAAAACACATAGGCCAGTACATTAATAACCTACTAAAACAAAAAATAAAGTTAACAAAAACTAAACACCTATTTTATCTGGAGAAAAAAACCAACACTTCTGGATTTCTTGGCTATTCGCATTCCTACGTACCAAAACCTAAAATCCATTTTACTGAAGAATTTCTTCCCCCACGACACTTGATTCCTCCATGCTACCTTAGCAGAATCATCAGCATTATTCCAGAATACAATCATTAGTTTGGGAACACTAAACAACGCAGTCCAAATGTCAATCGCAGGTAGTCTGTAAAGAAATGGTTAGAAACTACAAATTGTCATCCGTGGACGCAGAACCAACCGACCGATAGGACTTCTGGAATATGCTGCCCCGGAGATTTACAACGCAGACGCAGAAATGCACTCGCGGTCAGGATGTCCCTTAAACCACAGGACCTTCCTACAAAAGGACAGCCTTAAACTTAGAAACTAAATGAGAACTCCCCCTCTCTCTGAAGTTTTTAAAACAAGGTAGGGAGCTGAAATCAGGGGGCTGCGGGCAGACAGGGTGTTGACTACCCAGAACGGGCCATGGATAACCAAGTCCCTGTGCTTTCGCTACTCCCCTTACCGTTAGAAGATCTGGGCGGGAGGAAAAGAGAACACCCCAGAATCCTAGTGGAAAAGCCCCTGGCCTCGAAGGTGGGGTTTAGGGGAACAGGGAGGGGCAGCTCCGTGTGTGGTGACCCTTTGTGAACACGCACTCTGTGGTAGCTTCGGCTCCACCGAGGCTTCGGGAGTGAGGACTATGGGTGCCTGGCGTGGGCCAATTGTGGAGACTGGGGCGTCAGAGCCTTCGTGGCACCCCACGCCGGCTGCGGGAGCCCTTCCTTCTCCCCTGCCCCGGGTCATTTTAGGCCGGTCGGCCCCAGACCGCTACTCGAGCGGGCCAGAGAATAGCGTGCCGTGCGGCTCTGCCGTCGGCGTAATCCCTCCGCAGCACGCCGCGCACTAGTTTTAATCACGCCCCACCCCCTGGCCGCCGGCGTCACCTCCGCCACACGCGCGCTATCCAGCAGCTTCCAGAAACGTCGCCTACCCAAACCCAGCCACTCACACCCGGTGGGGGGACGTAGCAACGGGCCCCGCCCCTACGGCGGCTGAGGAGAACGACCGGAAGTGATCTCTTTCTCGCTTTCCGCGCCACCCCTGCCTCCTGGTAGGCCCGGCGTGCTGCAGTGAGGGGGACTCTAATGTGCAACGGACCCAAGCCGGAAGTCGCTTTCCTAGCGGAGACGCGGGTGGGGGAGGAGCAGTCCGAGGCTAACGTGAGTTGAACGTTGCAAGTAGGTGGTGTGTCTCTCAAGCTGGAACTGGGGTTCGGGTCGACCTAGTACGAAGAAGGGGAGTTCCTGCAGCAGGTAAGGGAGAAGAGGGGTAGTTTCGTTTGGCTATAGGGGAAAGGGGCAGAGCTGGGGTGACCCGTGGGTAGTCGGCACTCTGAAGGATGGGCCGGGCTGGGACAAAGTCCGGGTGGGAAGGGTTGGTGATTGAGGTATAGAGTTGGAGTAACAGATCCATTTGGGCTCAGACTGGTAAACGCTGAAGAGAAACCAGTTTTCGTCTCCTGCGGAGCGTGGAGATGAGCAGGGTTAACATTTCCTGCGCCTTCTTGGGCTTCCAAGGTTGTTTTGAAACTCTCCTTGCTTGGTCCTATCTGTCTCATTCAGGACAGTTAGGTTTGGTACCAGACGGGGCTGGGCGCTGAAAATCGACCCTTTTCTTCGGCTGTGGGCCACTTGTGACTTCACCTTTTACAGTTCACGTGCTGAGCCCAGTTGGTGTCGGTGAGCAAGCTTAAATGGATGTAATGCCCCTTTTACCTCATTTTGCGCTAGGGGATGTGAATTTAATTGCATACCTTTTGCGATTTTCGTGGCTAGCGTCACACGTTGATTGTGTTGTCACTGGGTCCATGATAGGCTATTACTAATCCCTTTTAAAAGGGTTTCTGTAAAATTTGGATGCAGTCAAAAGGCCACACTCAAGGATCCAGAAGGCCACGTGTGGCCCCAGTGCCACAGGTTTCTACCCTGGGGCTGTTACTCACATCAAGGCTTTTGAAGTATTAGTGGCTCACAGAGATATGGAAAAAAGATGTTAGAAGAAGAGAGCTGAAGGTGAAGTGGTGTTAAGGAAGGTAAGACTGGAAATTTAGGTTGGTCTCACAGTGCTGTGAGTTAAAGATCATAGTATTGGGCTGCGTGGACGGACTTGCTGGAGTAAGGCTGTTTTTAAGGTGAGCAGTGACAGGCTCAGACTTTTTT